AAAAAAAAAAAGGTTGGGGGCCCTGGAGCACCTGGCTGGCTCAGTTGGAAGAGCATGCATCTCTGGGTGCGTGAGTTCGAGCCCCATGTTGGGCAGAGCTTACTTAAAATTTTGTTTTTAATTGGGAGCCCTTGTACTGCTGCTGAGCGACCGAGCCCGGGCTCTGTCACCTACTCACTGACTCTGCGCTGCTGACTGGGACAGTTATCCAGCATTTGACTGCGGTCTGACGCCCTAATACTACTGTTGGTGGCACAGTTACGGACACTGGGTGGGTTTTGCAAGGCCTGCGGAGGTCAGAGCCTCACGGAATTCACAGTGAACGGTGCCGCCCGACAACGCTGTCCCCGCACACACGCCTTCTTCCCGAGGGCTCCTGTAAAGCCACGGGGCCGGGAGGTGGCTTGGGCCACCGGGTCCCGCCCCCGGACGGCGAAGGACCGTTCCCGGAGCGGCCGCCAGAGGGCGCGTGCGGCGCGGCGGCGTGGGGCTTCGCGCTTTGTCCCCCCGCGCGGCCCGTCGCCCGGAGCTGCGGCGGGAAATCCGTCGGGCTCCTCCCGGCCGCCGCCTCCTTCTGCCCTCGCGCGCCTGCCTGGGTCGGCCCTGCTGTGATGGAGGAGGAGGAGGAAGGGGGTGGCGAGGAGCAGCAGCAATTCTCCTACCGACAGGTACAGGAAAGTCGGCTCCCTGCCGGTTTGGGGGAGGACGGCGTGGAGCTTCTAGAGAGGGAAAGGCCTCGAGGCCTCCCGCCGGGCGCTCTTCGGGGCGTGGTCCCCGGGGCGGGTCCCCCGGGGCGGAGGGCGCGCTCCGGCCGCCTGCGCCTGCGCCAGCTGGGCTGCCGCGGGGGGTTCTGGGAGGCGGTCTCCAGGGTAACGCGGGTCGGAGTGGGACGGGGGGGGGGGGGGGGGGCCCGTCTGGCTGGGACAGCCGCGGTCTCCCTTCTCAGGGCTGTAGTGAGAATAGGGTGTGCTCCCGGGAAGGCGATCCAGGCACAGCACTTAGCGCGGGGCCCGGCCTGCGAGCCCGCTACCCGGCGGCTCCTTCCCGCGTGGGTCCCAGCCCCGGCTCCCCCGCCCCGGCGGCGCGCGGCTCTGCTCCCGCCCAGCTTTCCCGCACGCGGACCCCGGGTAGTAAGAAGTCCGCCCAGGGCAGGGCGGTTGCGGGCAGCGCCGGGAGCAAGCACACGGGGCAGAGTCGTGAGAACGAAGAACCGTAACGCCCTGAAGAGGTAAAAAGCAAGAACCAGGGCGGCCACCTCAGAGAGGGTGGACAGAAGAGCCGGCAGTGAGCTCAGTGCCCGGGAGGGCCCTCCTGCCAGTGTTCCGTTTCAGAAGCTGTTAACCCACCGCCTGCCTCTCTTTTGGGAAGCGCGAGGTTTCAGGAAAAGTTGCAAGAATAGTGCACTCAGCAGCCCTATGCTCCTCACCTGGATTCACCAGTTAACACTTCGCTGTATTTACTCCTTTGCTCTCTTTTTTTTCTGAATCATTTGAGATTTAATTGCAGGTACCTTGACACCTTCCCTTTAAGTTTTAGCACTTTCGTATGGCTCTCCCAACAACAAGGGTATTTTCGTACATAATAACCTCAAGTATCACGCTCAGAAAGTTTAATATTGGTAAAATCCTATTCTCTGACGATCAGTCCATTCGCACATTTCCCCAGTTGTCCCAAAGCTGTTTCTTCTTCTGGTCTTTTTTCTTTCATCCAGGATCCAGTCAAGGGGCATAACTTGCATTTAGTAAGATCCTGTCTCTGATCTTCCCTGGAACAGTTCTCCACCCTCTGTTTTTCCTGACACTGATGGTTTTGAAGAGTCCACTGATGATGGCAAAAGTGTGGTGGGAGATAAACCCTGAGAGCCGAGGCTGTCCTTTTCATTTTTGTATTCTCAGCCCCTAGTGCAGGGCCTGGCTCCCAGTGGGCAGTCCATACTTAACTGAAGAAATGAGTAAGGCTGCAAAGATGGGCTGAGAAATTGGTGAGCAGGTTGAGGATCCCGCCACCCATTTCCTCCAGCTGTTCTTGGTGCTGGGTGGACAGTTGTAGTGAACAAAACTGACAGGGTCCTGCCCTTGAGGAATTTGGATCTGGGGATTGAGGCTCAAAGTGCAGTGTTGTCTGCAACATTAAAGAAGGCACAGGCACTTGGCCCTGTCCAGGAGGCGTGCAGAAGAGGAGGGATAAAAAACTTCTGGAACGTTCAGAAGGCTCCCTGTCCTGTTCCTCTAATGACACCCCCACGTGTACCTAAAAAAGATGACCCTGGGGGCTCTTTATCCCTCCCAGGGTGATGGTCCCTTTGTCTCCTCCTACCATAGGCCTCAACTTACCTAGTCGTTTGACATCTGAAACTAAGAAAGGTCGTTGCCCTTGCTTATCTGCCTGGCCTCTACCCTGGGGTCCTGGACCTGTGTTTCTGCAGTTCCTCCTCATTCTGTTTCAGCTGTGAACACTTGCTGTTTGGGGTTCAGCTGTCCCCCTGTCCAGTTCAGTTCTGTCTCCAGCATAGAGAAGGAGCACACCCAGGGGTGCAATAAGTTTGTTGACAGGAGACTGAGATTTTGGCTTGGCTTGGCTTTGTTTTGCTTCTTTGCTCCTCTGCATAGGAAAGCTATGCTCTTCGGTATCTAAAAGGGTTGCTAAGGAACAGTGAGGGTCCTGGTGAGGTGGGCTAGCAAGCCAGCAAGCAAATCAAAGGAGGGTCAGTCGTGTCCTCACAGGCCTTTCCCAGCGTGGTCCTGAGCGTTTGTCCTTTGTCACATGTAAGCCTGGGGCTGGCAGAGACTTGCCGCAGAGGGATGGGATTCTTTTGCATTTCACTGGAGTAATTACCTGTCTGGTTTGTCATTGTTCCCTGAGCACCTAGCATATGCCTTTACTCAGTAGGAACGGGTGCACATTTGTGGAATACCTGAGTGAGGTCATGCAGACACCTTGCAAGTGCAAGTCCGACTTTTCTCCCTGCTGACCTGCCATTGTAATTCCTTATCTTTACTTGACCTAAATCATAACCATTAAACAAGGAAGTAATATTTCTCCAAGTCACACTCCAGAGGGCCTCATTAATTTATTAGTACACTTGAAAAGTCTTCAGCCATTATGGAAAGTGCTGAAGGAATTAGGCTGAGCAGACCCCTCTCCTTGGTCTTAATTTTCGAAGGTGTGGAAAGCTCTTCTTTGCAGCCTCACCCATGAAGTATTTTGACTCTTTGCTGCAGAGGCTGAAAGCGGCTGTCCACTACACTGTGGGCTGTCTCTGTGAGGAAGTTGCATCGGACAGAGGGATGCCGTTCAGCAAACAAACCATCGCAGCCGTCTCGGAGCTGACCTTCCGGCAGTGTGGTACGAAGCCAGGGCCTTCCTCTCTGTGGATAGAAATCCCCCAGGTTGCTTTTGTCCGGGAGAAATGTGTGGCCGGGTGCTGTGGCTCGTCCTACCAACAGACGGAGAACATTACCACCAGGTGCTAGTCACGAAACATTTCTTGGCTGTAAGATTCAGATGTTTTATGGAAACATCTATTTCTCGTACCTAACACTGGGCATGAACCTGTTTATTTTATTCTGTTTTAAACTGCCTGGAACATTAGGCATTACATTTTTATCTCATTGCTTTATAACATTTTTATATCGCCCATGCCATGGTTTATATGACAGCTGAGCTTGGACATTGGTATCTGCTTGACGTCCGAGGAAATTAATGTCCTCTCAAGCCCTAACTTGGGGCAAAATTTAACGTTTAGAGTTAGTTTCATGGAAGAAGAGGTGTGGCCACAATTACCACAATTACGACAAGGAGGTCCTAATAAATAAATCACACAACCTAGGCTAAAGGCTCACAAAACAAACAAACAAAAACAGCTAAAGGCTCCTGTCCAGGGATCAGGCGGCCCGAAGCGCATCCACCCAGCATGGAAAGGGCTTGTTGTATTCATCACTGTATTGTGGGAACTGAGGTTGCACTTTCCCTCCTTCTGAAATAAGATTGAATGAGGATAGCTAAAGCACGTCTTTTTCTCTTTCAGAAACTTTTGCCAAAGACCTTGAAATGTTTGCAAGGTGGGTAAAGAGCTGGCGTATCTGACGCTGTGTGTGTTCACGTCCTATTCATACTCTCCATCTGGTGGTGTATTTCAGGAGAGCTTTAGTCTTTTTTTTGGGTGTGTGTGGATTTGTTGGAGGCTTCTCTCTCATCATGGTTCTGCCAGAATATAACATCTGCTTTAATCACGTCCATTCAGACTTGATTTGGCATTTTTTTTTTAATATCTTCTGAGTACTTTTTGTTCAGTTCCTGGTTAAAAAGGTAGGAAGAACAGCTCGAGGGCTGTGCCCCTGCAGGGCGGTGTGGGGCGCGCCCGCACTGGGTGCCCGGCGGGGACCGCTGGTGGGTGTCGGGGCAGTGACAGCACCCAGGGCCCGCCGGCACTCAGCCTCAGGTCCACAGCGTCTGTCACCCGAGAAACACACTCCTTGAAAAGTGGGTGGCTTGCTTTCAGCGGGGAAGCTTGAGCTTTTACAGGTGATTTATGCTCATCTCTTCAATTAGTACCTCAGGTAATTGAAAACAATCGCACAACGAATTGCTTTTATGAAGCAGTTTGAATGACTGAGGCCGGAAGGGGCTAAAGCTTTCCAATTTGCTCGTACTGCTGATTCGGTGCCAGTCCCTCCCACACCCCGAGCTTTTCACCTTGTTCCTGTTAGCTCTCTGTTGCTCGGGTGAGTATTTTGAATGAATGAAAGCAGTAGGTTCTCAAAGGGCAGACTCTAAATCTTTCCTATCCCTGTGTATATGAATCCCTAAAAACTGCTTAGCATCGCCAGCTTGGCCAGAAGGGATGAGATAATATTAGGGGATACTAACAGCTCCTGTGGTGTGTTCGTTGTTCATTCAGGTGGGGGCTCCTTACGTGGCGCCCACTATCTCCCCCCCGGAGCCCCGCGTCTCTTGCGAAATACATTTATCACCCCTCTTGCCACATCTTTCCTTTTTTCGGAAAATACAACTTCTTTTTATTACAAGGGGTGGCACAAAATGTAAATATGTAAGCACATGATTATTTGATTTGAACATAAAGTTTATCAACATCGAGCCAGGTTTCTCCATCTCAGCACCATTGGTGTTTTGGACCGGCTCATTCTGGGCTGTGGTGGGAACTGTCCGGCGCGTTGTAGGGTGTTTCTGGGCCTCTCTGGCCTCTGCCTGGTTAGGTGCCAGCAGTAAGCCCCCAGTCGTGACTTTTCCTGCCATTTTTGTGTTAGCTGTGGGTAAAGACAACAAATGTTTTTAGATGCTTCTGTAAAAATACTGGGAATAAGAATGAAATTGGAAATATTTAGCATTGTAATACATTGCGCTTTCAGGTACTCTGTGTTTCATGATTACGTTAAGAGGTTGATTTTCTTTTTTTTTTTTTTTTTAAAGATTTTTATTTTTTTCACAGAGAGACACAGAGAGAAGGAACACAAGCAGGGGGAGTGGGAGAGGGAGAAGCAGGCTTCCTGCTGAGTAGGGAGCCCGATGTGGGGCTCGATCCCAGGACCCTGGGATCATGACCTGAGCTGAAGGCAGACGCTTAATGACTGAGTCACCCAGGCGCCCCGAGGTTGATTTTCTTTTGCTGGGTACTTGTTGGGTGGGGGGAGAGCCGTGTCATTTAGAGTGTAAGTGCCCCCAGGGAAGGGCATCATCTAAGTCAGGGGGTCTGTGTAAAGGCTGTCTCGCTGCTTGTTGTCTAAGTGAGAGAGGCAGAGGCTTACTGATGAAGCAATGTCTCCCCTTTCTCGTGTCCAGGGGTGTCTTCCAGTGCTCTTCACGCGCCCCCCCCACCCCGCCCTGAACTCTGAGCCAACGCAAGTACGGATTTTCTTCGAAGACTCGTCCTTTGTCTAATTTCACACTGATCTTCAAAATACTTCAGTTTGCTGTCATATATATATATAAAAAAAATCTTGTTTTAAAGTTTATCTCGGGGTGGGGGTGAGGGGGCTCCTGGGTGGCTCAGTCGGTTAAGCATCTGCCTTCGGCTCAGGTCCTGATCCTGGGGTCCTGGGATGGAGCCCCACATCGGGCTCACTTCTCAGCAGAGGGAGTCTGCTTGTCCCTCTCCCTCTGCCTCTCCTCCCTGCTCGTGCTCGCTCGCTCTCAAATAAGTAAAATCTTAAAAAATAAAGCTTATCACAGGATAAAATTGATACTCCCAGAAGGTCAGCTTTGTTTATCCTGTGGCTTTGTGTTTTCCCCGAGGCCACTGTCTTCTAGAACTGTGAGTCGTACAAGGAGTCTGAAGGACTGTTTCAGGCCAGCTGTATATTAAACTGTCTTTGTCAGCTGGCTGGGAACCTAACCGATATTTGTAACATTGTTTCTATGAGAAAACGGGTTTAAATTTGAAATAATTCACCTGTAAACTTTGGAAAATCATCTCCCAGTTTAAGTTGCGAATTTCCTTTACTTTGGAATCTCTAGTCACCTGATATCGTTAACATGTTAAAGATGCCACATTTTGAAGAAGATAGATATTAGACAGTGAATAGATTCTAGGAACATTTTGGGAATCGTCTTTAAAACCTGTGTTGCTAAAAGTGTTACATGAAAAACTGCTTTGTAATTTTCCCTTGGGTAATTTTCTGGAGTCAGAGGTTGGGCGACTGCTTTCGGCTCGGGTCATGGTCCCAGGGTCCTGGGATCGAGCCTCGCGTCGGGCTCCCTGCTCGGCAGGAGGCCTGCTTCTCTCTTTCCAGCTCCCCCCTGCTTGTGTTCCCTCTCTCGCTGTCTCTATGTCAAATAAATAAATAAATAAATAAATAAATAATCTAATGCAAAAAAAAAAAAAAAGGTTTGATTTAGGAGAGTCTCTGATGTGCGGCGGCCGGCGTCGGCTATGCCCGCCCCTCCGTTTAGGGAAGGGGCATTAAAACGTGGTGCAGAGGTAGCACATACCAAGCTGAGGATTGGCGAGGCTCGGCTTTGCTGTTTCCTGAACACTTCCTTGTGAACAGACCCACTGACCTTACTCTGTAAACAGCTCACTAGGCTGCCTCCTTCTGCTTGTTCTCTTGTAGCACTTTGTGAAGAATGTGAAAACTGGCCGAGCGGCCCGATCGTGTGGCCGAGGGCCACGCTGTGTGCATGACGCCTGACCGCCTCCCCCGGTACACCTGTGGCCCGGCTGCCTACCTTGTGGCTGCACCGATGTCCCCTTCTGACTGTCCCCTTTCTCTCCCGGTCCTTGCGGATGGCCGATTAGAAGTCGCCTCCTGATATGGATACTGTCGGCGCAGGCAGATGCTGTCAGTCGTGAGGAGATGACACGTGCCATCTGCACATTTAGTGGGAGGTGAAGGTTTAATTCGGCCAAATTATGGAGTGTAATTTCTGTGTGATTTTCTTGTTAACGGAACAGATATTTGGGGAGGACTGTGTGTTGGCCACTCTACTCGTTGTTAAGGATACAAAGATGCCTACTTCTGTGCATAAGGCTTCTACTTATTTTTGGAGGAAGTGAGAAATGGCAAGAAATGGTGTAATTAGAGCAATAAATTATTGACTGTAGCTTATTATCTGAAATTACCTTTTAAAGCAAAGATAAGAGGATTGGAATGAGATTTTGAATCCAAGTTGTGAGCAAGACACAGACTCCAGTTTAAAAGATGTTCTTTGTTCTAGCTCGTAGCTCGGCTGTGTTGAGGGAGTGCATTACCTCCTTGTTGGGAAGTGGGGTGTAGGGGGACATCTGCCTGAGCTGCTTCCTGTAATTTAGCCCTCGGGAACTTGGAATCTTTGTTCTTCTACTTCACATCTGTTTAAGCAGAGGCAATCTTTGTGTTGTTTGATATTGTGCCATTTTCTCTTTTCACTGATGGTGTGTGCAGACGTGCTGTGTGGTGTTCGCTGTGACCATTGTGCCCAAGCAAGTCCCCGCTCAGGCACCCATGGCCTTGGGCGGAGGTGGACAGATGGGCTGCTGCTTTCCTTGGTCTCTTTATTTAATTAGTATCTTGGCAAAGTCACTTCACTCATTTTTATGTCATTGTTGCTTAATGAATTTAATCTAAAAAGATGGGCTTCTTAGAGAGCCTTGCTAGTTTGGAGTCTGACCATGAACTTTTGGGTTTCATCAAAACTTGAAGTGATACTAAACATTTTGGTGAATTGTTTCTGCCCTTTCTACAGACACGCGAAAAGAAGCACAATTAACACCGAAGATGTGAAGCTCTTAGCCAGGAGGAGTAATTCACTGGTGAGAGATGAATTTCTTTCCTCACTCCCCTTTCCCATCAGAATACATTATTCCCAATTAATCACTCGCAACCATGAAGCGATTCCCCAGGGCACCTTGCATTAAAAACGAGAGACGGTTGAACCATTCAGACCTGCCCGCAATTTATAGTCTCTCTTTCATCATGATGGATGTCGCTAAGCCAATCTGAAATTTTCTAATCAGCACTCTCTGGATTTCATAATTTGCCTTTTCCGTAACATCTCAAAACGTTGGCCCTGTGTTCCATTTACAGCGTGGTGTCAGAGACAGGCCACAGGCCAGAGCGTGTGGGGAGAACTGTGTTACGGTGCCCACGGCTCTGCTCTGATGGGCCAGGTATGGAGGCAGTGTCTGCACAGGCGGGGTGGGCAGGAAAGCGAGCATGTTCTCTGTCTTTCCAAAGAAATCTAGACTTCAGCTTGACCAGCCCTCATTTTACAGGTGATGCTGTGATCATCCCTGGCTAGTGGCCGTGACCAGGGGCAGACCCAGGGCGTCTGAGGTTTTCTGACCTTGTCTAATCTTAGCAGTGAGAACACTTTTCGTTCCCCGTCATGTGAGCTCCACCAGGGTGGACCTTTGTCTCTTCTCTGTTCCATCTGCTGTGCCTAGAATAGGGCCTGGCATACAGCAGGTGCTCAAGAAGTAGTTGCTAAATGAGTTTATATAGCAGTTGACAGTTTACAGGGGGCTTTTATAGTTATTATTTTACATATGTTATTTAAAACCTCACAGCCACCCTCTGAGGGTTTTTCATAACCCCATTTATTAGCCCAATTTTACAGGGGAGGCCGCTGGAGTTCAGAAACCTCGCAGAGCGGAACACGGAGCTCTTGGGTGGATTGCCGAACCCAAACCATCGAGCCTGGAATCTGGTGCCGCTTCCACTGGGCGGCACCCCCCCCCCCCCGCCCCGCTCTTCTGATACCCTCTCTCCAAAGTTGAAGTCAAGGCTAAGGATGTGATTCCTAAGGAAAACAGCTAAGGTGGCTGGCGGTGCTGTGCATCCGCGGAAAGACACTTCCCCTCTCTCCATCCGTTCTGTGCAGGTCATGGCTGGCAGCTGGCCGGCTTCGGTGAGCCCTTTCTTCCTTTTGCAAAGGAATGGGCAGTGCCAGTCATCTTAGAATGTTAGCTGGGAAGTTATCTGTCCATTGCACATTTGTTTACTTCCAAATACCGTTTTTATTTGGGGCTCTCAATTTTTTTTTCATGACAGAGTTGTGGCTAAATTTACGCATTCGATAAAATCCTCCCCGACAGCAGGGACCTGCGTTATTTACCCTGTATCCCTGGGACCTGGTGCTTAGTAGCTGCTCCGTGATGTCAGTTGGATACATTTAGGGGGCTGTTGATTGTACTGGTGCTTGGTAGAGTATATTTAGGCCTGGCGTGCCTTCTGCACGCTCCACATTTTAACTCTTTTGACTACTCAAGGAGCTCCTGCCTGTTGGGTAGGAGTGATTTCTGGAGTTGATTGGTTGATTTCTGGAGTTGATTGGTTCTTCCAGGAAAAAGTGGAAGTTCTGTTTCGCTCTGAGAAATGTAACCCAGGCTTTTCCACCCAAATTCTTAGGGCGGGAGTGGTTAGGAGGGGTAGATTCCCCTCCGCTCCCCCAGGTTTATAGAGTGGTTTCACAACCAGATAAAACTTGTAATTCTTTAATTTTTTTTTTTTTTTTTTTTGGTAGCTAAAATACATCACAGAGAAAACCGAAGAGCTCGCTCAGTTTAACACAGAACAAAAAGCAAAGAAGAAGCAGAAGCTAGAGGAAGACAACACAAGAGCAGTGGTGCCGGCAGAGGCTGCCGCCGCCAGAAAGGACGGTTCTTGACTCCATCGCCACCGGCCGGCTCTGTCCCTTCGGCAGGGGCGCGGCGGGGGGGCAGGGGCTGCCACAAGGGGATCTTCGAAGGGATCAGTAAAGATTAAAATAAAAAGGCTAAGAGGCTTGCTGGGCTGTGTTCTGTGGTCATCGGCTGCAAAAGCCATAGCGTTGGAGCCGGAGACGCTCAAGCAAACACTCCGTGTCTCCCGTGCGCTAACGCAGGAGTCCGAGGGGCCAAGACTGGAAGTGGGGTCTCTTGCCGTTAATAAGGTTGTGTCAGCGATAAGATGTGACTGACTTTTTCAAGCAAACATTTCAGTTATCTCTTTCTTCTTCTCCATGATTCTTCCGGCTGACAGTCCCTGAGAGACGAGTAAAGCTGTTTGTTCAGTTCTGTTGATCCACCGGTGTGGTTTTTAAGCCTGTGTCGCGTGTGACCCCAAGGTAAATGTGATGCTCACAGGTGCACGTTTGGAAAGTGTCCGTTTTACTTTTTAAAGGTGATTTTCTCCAGAAACACAGTTTATATAACTTTTCTCCGGCTATTTTGTAATTTAACTCTGGTTCTATGGGATGGAGGTTTTGCTTGAGAGGAAACCTGCTCTCTTCCCAAAACGCTTCCCTGTGTGGTGCTCTGGTTCGGTCTGTGAGGGCTGGAGCTTCCGGTCCTGCTGTCTTCTCTGCGGGGTGTCAGGGGTGCCCAGGGCATGCCTCTCCCTGCTGGGGCAGGAGGGAGAAGGAACGGGGCTGCATTTGGGAGCCCTCTCTTTGTGCCAGGCTGCCCCGGGGCTCCACATAGGACCTCAGTGCATCCTCACAGCCTTATGGGGCGGATGTGATTCTACCCGTTGTGCTGGCGTGCAGACCGAGGCTTGAAGAGGTTAGTGCGCTGCCCGGGTCTGCTGACCAGTCAAGACAGTATTCACCCTGGGGTGCTCACCCCCTCAAGAGGGGATGAGAGAGGACAGGACAGGTGTTCTGGATAGAACGGATACCGATCAGCAAAAGACACCCCACAACAGTTTGGCTAAGCTGTGGGCACAGGAAAGCACTGAAATCAAGCCTCACAGTCTCAGGGGCTGTAAATGACTCCTCCTTTCACCTCAGAAAAGGACTGTGACATCCACGTGTCACGGCAGGTAAGAGAAGGGAATCCTAAAGCCTCCTCCTGACAGTCCCACTCCCGCCGAGATCTGTACTGAGTAGCTTCCTTCTTGGGTAAGCTGTAAATCTGCATGAGGCGAGGTTGGACGCTGGAGGCCACGGACTTGCCAGAGGTCCGCCCACGTGGATTTGCTTCCTGGTCTTGCGACTCTAATGGCAGTGTGACTTTCTGTAGCTTTGTGTTCTCATCAGCGAAATAGGGCATATGTGACTGGAAGAGGAAATGGGGAGGACTGTTAGGGGTCTTGTCTTTATGGATTTCTATAGCTCTCCAAACTGGGTATATGGGGGATTGGAAGTGGTTGAACTCCATGTGTGCCACAGGCGTCCGTGTCTGGTTGTAGGGCTGGAGAGGGCCCCCGGTCGTGGCGTGGCTATTTTGATGTGAAGTTTTCTAGCCAAATTGGAAACTCAACTTGATGTTCATGTAATCGTTTGGTGCATTTGCATATTTATGTGTGATCTGTTTATACTTTTTTTTTTTTAAGATTTCATTTAAGAGATAGAGAGCACGTGTTGGGAGGAGGGGGAGAAGCAGACTCCCCACCAAGCAAGGAGCCCCTATGTGGGGCTCGATCCCAGGCACCTGAGATCATGACCTGAGCCTAAGGCAGACGCTTCCCCGACTGAGCCGCCCAGGCGCCCCGCTTACACTTCAGATGAGCAGGCTTAAACGACTTTTTTAGGGCTTGTAACACAGGAGCTGTCAGACTTTGCGAGGAAGAGCTGACTCCCATTTCCTGGGTTCTCTGGAGCTGCCTCTTCCCCACTGCATCCTCCACGTGGGGTTTTGCTCACTCTGGAGTATCCACCGTGATGCTGATCATCCTGTGCGATTCCATCTTTGGGGACAGATGGCAGAAAGGGCTTCTGGAGGGCCCTGTTTTTGTGGGCTGGCTTCCTCAGAGTCCTGGAAGCTCCTCTAAACGTGAACCTATTAACCATTTACCAGATGATGAACCAAATAAAGAAGGAATGTGTCCTGATCACATAGATGGGGGCAACTTACACTTACAGTATTGTCTTCTTGTGGCACCGGTTCCTCGAAGCGCTGGAAATAAAGGGCTCGTGGTGATGTGTTATTACTGAAATTAACTGGAGTCGGGGAACTTTGAAAGCATCCCTTTCTGCACACACCAGCAGCTGGAATGTGCATTGGCTCGCACACAGCTGATACTTTAAAACCTGGATGTCCCAGAAAGGCTACATCGGGACATGCTTCTTCCTTTATTGAATGGTGGAATTTCTGAAGAGCCCCTAGGGGTCATAGAGTCCAGGCTCCCCATCACCTAGGAACTCCGGGAGAATTCTCCAGGGACAGAGAGCCCGTCCGGTCATGGGACACTCACTGTTAGGTTTCTTCTGTACTTAGAGAAAAGTCTTCCACTCTCTAACTTCTCTCTTGGTCCCATTTGGACCTTTAGAAGGAGCACTCTTTGTTTTTCAAAATAATTCTGGACTGAGTTTCTTTTAATCAAAAGTTCCCATTCGACATCTTTTCAGAAACACGTTCTTGCCTAAGACTTTAGGTTATCATCTCCCGGAGGGCAGGCTCTGGGCTGGAGAGCGTGACGGGTGGTGCCTTGTGCAGTGCGGGGCTTGCAGGAGGCACCCCGAGATACTTGGACCCTGGCATGTAAGATGTGCTGGTGAAATAAGTAGGAGCCCTTGGGTTGCATGGGTCTTGTTGGGGCTCCCCCATGTTGCGGTGTGCGGCTCTTCTCCTTACCCTGCGGAACAAGAAGGATTGAGGATGTCTTCTTAGTGCTGCCCGACGTGCGTCCTGCCATGGGTTCCACGTGGGCTGGGTGCTTTACGGGACCTTCTTCGGTCCTCACGACAGCTCTCTGATGGGGGCAGTAGGTACTAATTTTTTTTTTTTTATCCCCATTATACAGATGAGGAAACAGGCCACAGAGAGGCCAGGAGCAAAGCCAGGGTTTTAGTCTTCAGCCCTCTCCTCGAAGGACCAAGACAGGTGGCCGCCTGCCTGAAGGCGGCCAGGAAGAAGAGGGCATGTAAGCTTCCTCCACCCGTGGCGCCCTCCCTGGCGCACTGCCACTGCACTGGAGGCTGTGGGTCCTGCCCCCTGGCTAGGCTCTCCCAGCCCTGCTGGTGTGGGTGGTGTGGGTCCTTTGTACTGTGTCTGCACTAAGTGCTCAGAGTGTCTAAAGAGTCTGTCCAGTAAAATCTGCAAAATATACCAATAAGAAGCTGGCCGAGCTGCTGTGCATTTCTCATCTGTAAGAATCTCTCCATCTGGGGGGCACCTGGCAGGCTTAGTCGGTAGAGCAGGGGACCGTTGATCTCAGGGCTATGAGTTCAAGCCCCATGTTGGGCGCGGAGTCTACTGAATTAAAAAAAGAATCTCAATTTTTAATACCATTTGTGGGAATTTTCTTAGGCAAAAAAGAATTATTTTTGTATAGAAAAAAAAGACGAAGCAACATGCAGTAATGAGCCATGACTCTTCAGGCCATGCCCGTTTTGCCTAGAATCTTTACAAGCCTCTGCTGACATGGAATTTAAGATGGAGATTTCCCTTGGGGGAGGGGTGTAAACCAGGGCTTTGGAAAACTGAAAGTCAGCCTTCACTTTTGGAGAGAGCGTCCGTTCGGTTGCTTAACTTCCACTTGGAACCATGCTATGGCTCCTGGCCCTGTGTGGCAGGTTTGCGGCCCGTGACTCAGTTTACCGGCTGTCTCACAGTTGGATGAAGAGGGTCTGCGCATTTGCTTGTGGGATTCTGAAACTGGGACCAGGGAGGGGAAGCCCCGGGGGGGTGGGGGGGGACACAGAGGAGGACTCCACGTTCTGGCCTTCCCGGGAAAGCGGGTCAAGTGCAGGTCATTGAGTAAGAAGTAGCCAGGCCCCTCCGGGGCCAGCATCCCCGGGCGCTCCTGAACCTGCCCTCTTGTCTGGGTTTTCAGCCTCCTTGCCTGCGATTCGGTGAGAGCCGGCAGGTGCCCCGAGCACCTCCCTGCACCCCTCAGCCCCCCCTTGTCTCTTCGGCCCACAGCAGATTCCACCACACCTTACATGGGCAGAATTTCAGCTTCTCAGCTCCTCATCCACCGCTGATTTTAAATTGTGTGAAATCACTTGGCTTTGTGCTCAAGGCTTCCTGCCGCCTGTGGGTGTGATTATGAGGAAGCGGGACTCCTTCAGGAGCGAGCGCACTGTCCTCCAAAGTAAGCAAATCCGCTCTAAACTCGGGAAACCATGGTGGCTTTAATGAAGGGGTTAACTCCGATCCAAAAGCGCTTTTGTGGGCTGAGGGCTTAGGCAGGTGCATCACTGCTTGAGGATAAGGGAAGCGGGGGTACAGGCTTTTGATAGATCAGGGACAGAGACAAAAAACCAGCTGCAGGTGGAGCTTAATTAAAATGCCCCCCCCGCCGCCCCTCCCCTCCGCTGCTCGACGAGACCCAAGTGCACAAAACACGGATTTCGGGGCTGCCCAAGGATAAGCAGCCCCAGAGCTGGAGAGAAGTGCCGGTCAGCCTTTAGGATGCCATCGCCCCTCTTCCTGCTCCTATTCCTGCTCTCGGGGGCCACGGCCACCGCGGCCCTGTCCCTGGAGGGTGGCCTCGCCGGACACGACAGCCGGGTGAGTAGTGACGGGGCCGCAGGCTAGCCCACTCTCTGTCTTGTTCCTTGGCCTTGTTGGCGTGGCTCGCCGGCAGCTCCAGGGCGAGCGTGTGTAGGACAGACGGCAGGCAGGGCTGACCTTTGTGGGGTGCCCCCCCAGCCGCCCCCCGGCCTGCGATGTCCCCTCTTAGACCGTGGGGTCTTGTTTATCTCCAGTGGTCCCAACAACCTGCAGAGAGCTCCGAAACTCAAGGGGGGAGCTTCCCTGCTGGCGAGCTCCATCTGCTCGTCTTTGAAACGTTAAGTGATCATACCAGTCTAGCGCAGGGCGATCATGGGGCCGCCGGCAGCCCGCATTTGCCACACATGCTTCTAGAATCTTAATTTATAGGTATGGGACTCTTCTCATCGGCTCAGATTCATTGACATCGTTACAGTTTCCGTCGTGAGAATTCGTAACTTTGTGAGGTGATTCATTTTTCTCTCTTTTTTTTTCCATTTTGAAAAAGTTCCAAGAAAGAGTACATAAAGTTGGCCATTAAAAATGGATTTTTCTCTAAAATTACCAGATGAGTTTCAGACAAATCATTTATCATCAGGTTACTCCTAGAAGCTTTCTAAGGAATTTGAAAGAGGGGAATATCACGTCTCAGTCTGATCTGTCTCAAAGAGTAATTTGTGGACATCCAGGAGTCAGACCAGGCACTTGGCGGCAGGGAAAATGATAGATTTCCTGACCTCGTCTAATGAAGGACCTCAGCCAAGATTATGGGCCAAACAGGCCGTTTTTTTTTCCTTGACTGAAAATTCTTAATTCTTCCTTCTCTAACTAGAACAATTTCATTAAGGTGTTCTCTTAACTTCCTCATTCTTTATTTTATTTTTCTTTTAACTTTCTCATCCTTTTTTTTTTTTTTTTAAGATTTTATTTATTTACTTGACAAAGAGAGACAGCGAGAGAGGGAACACAAGCAGGGGGAGTGGGAGAGGGAGAAGCAGGCCTCCTGGGGAGCAGGGAGCCCGATGTGGGGCTCGATCCCAGGACCCTGGGATCATGACCTGAGCCGAAGGCAGACGCTTGACGACTGAGCCACCCGGGCGCCCCACTTTCTCATCCTTTAAATGGAAATGTGATTTATTCTTCTGAAGCATCTTTTTTTTTTTTTTTTTGAGGAAGGAATTATAGATCTTTTAATGCTGGCTCAACCAGATCGTTGATTATTTTTCTTTCCTTTGTCCTCTGCGTCTTTTTAAAAGCATCTGCAGGAAGTGTTAGAAATGAAGAAGAACAGCCTCTTGACTTTCCTGGCTGGGCGGTACCAGTGGGCCTCCCAGCTGGGCGCAGCCCCCTTCACAGGAGGGGCAGCTGGGGAGGTGGCCAAGCGGCAGGACGTCCCGCCCCCTCAGCGGTCCCTGCGGGAGAAGGCACCTTGCAAGGATTTCTTCTGGAAGACCTTCTCCTCCTGCAAATAAAACTCCACCCCTGATCACTCATGCAAAGGAGTGTAACCATGGATCTGAATAAAATGTATTAACAGCCGTGATCTTTCTTCTTCGCACAGTTGTCTTTTCCTTCCTGTGTAATTTGGAACGTTTTATTTATTTGTTTATATTTTAAAATATTTTATTTTTAGTAATCACACCCAACGTGGGGATTGAACTCACAACCCCAAGATCAAGAGTCCCGTGCTCCACTGACTGAGCCAGCCAGGCGCTCCCCAAAGTGAACATTTTTGAAAAAGATTTTTACGTTTTTTGCTGTAGTGTACCCACTGGACTTTCTTTTCACTTTAGTTATGTGCTTGGAAGTTCTGCCCTTGTCTCCTTTCCTTTGATTTAAAACAGTTAAAGGCGACATATTTAAGAACCCAGAATAACATCTTATTTGTTTGTTTTCATAGAAATTGTCTAATTTAAAAAATATTTCCCTTGTATTAAAAGCAAATTTTTAACATTGTGCTCAAAGAGCAAAATGATTATTTCTTGTGTTTTGGCGAAAACCAATTTAAAAACAAATGTCACGCTCTCAAGCATGATCTCATGTTCACATACTCATAAGAAGAGTTACATTCAAACCTTCTCTGATAAAATACCCATACTGGTTTTCATTAGTCAGTTAATTTTAATTTGTTACAGTTCTTTCATGGATCAGAGCTTCTACGTTTGCGTCGTGAAGAACGAAGTGTGTTTAAAGGCCTTATTTCAAACCAGATACAGAGCAGGGCTGCTGTCGAGCCTGTGGCCTGCTTACCTCAACTTTTTTATTTTATTTTTTAAGATTTTATTTATTTGTTTATTTGACAGAGACACGGCGAGAGAGGGAACACAAGCAGAGGGAGTGGGAGAGGGAGAAGCAGGCTTCCCGCTGAGCAGGGAGCCCAATGCGGGGCTCGATTCCAGGACCCTGAGATCAGGACCTGAGCTGAAGGCAGACGCTTAACGACTGAGCCACCCAGGCGCCCCCTTGCCTCAACTTCTAATTTAAGGCTTTCAGGATCGCAGGAACCAGACTTTGTTCCGTGACAGATGCCTATATGTAATTTTTTTAAAAAAGATTTTATTTGAGACAGAGATAGAGATAGAGCGCAGGCACAACCAGCGGGAGCGGCAGGCAGAAGGAGAAGCAGGCTCCCTCCTGAGCAGGGAGCCCGATGCAGGGCTCGATCCCAGAACTCCAGGATCACAACATGAGCCAAGGGCAGACGCTTAACGAACTGAGCCATCCCGGTGCCTCCACATGCATATATGACTTGATATATTTTCCCATTCCCCAAGAATTTCCACAGAAGGGACAATGAGTGATGGCTACACAGGAGGGGAGTTCCTTTTTCTGTAATACAGGGCTGAGCAGCTGTCAAGCCCCACGCGGACCAGGATTTGCGGCTGCTCCAATGAAATGAGGGGTGAACAAATCACTGTTTCAAAACCTGAATCAAATCTTTAGTTCTCCCCCATAGCACCAAAATCCTTGCTTGATTCTGCATATTGTTTATGGCTCTTGAATGCCAGACTCTGAAGAATACTTCCAGGGTGAAGGTGTTTAGATGCTAAACTTTATTCAGAGATTCATACCTGGAGTCATGGGAAGTTTCTGAGGGTCAGGCCTAATATGGGGAAAATTGGCAAAGGCTGGCTGGAGGGGCATTGTATCTTTTCTCGGCATACCAGGGGAGAAGGCGCGGAGTATGACTGCTGACCGTTCCGTTCTGTTTTCTGCAGAGCTGAGCTCAGATCCATAATTACTAGCTGAGTAAAAGTATAATGTGTTGGAGGACCTTAATAGATCCGAATTTCCAGACACAGCAGCTTGAAGAGACCAGTTATTGGGTTACTGCACTGGTGCAAGATGCTGGCCTGGAAGGCCAGCTAACCTTCAGAACGTTGTCTTTTAAGATTTTCCTAGAAGAAAAGCATGCTCCTTGTTTTTCAATTTCTTTCTTTTTTTTTTTTTTTTTAAAGATTTATTTATTTGATAGACAGACAAAGCGAGAGAGGGAACACAAGCAGGGGGAGTGGGAGAGGGAGGAGCAGGCCTCCCACTGAGCAGGGAGCCTGATGCGGGGCTCGATCCCAAGACCCTGGGATCGTGACCTGAGCCGAAGGCAGATGCTTAACTGAGCCACCCAGGCGCCCCTCAATTGGGGTCATACACAGTCCTTAGGACTGGGGACTTACAACTTTGAACTAAGTAATACCTGAAGGATAATGAGGCTATGCTAATGAGACTGGCAGGAAATCTGTCACATCTAAGTTTACCTGAGTTCAGGGGGCTGAATAGAATGTTAACTGGCATCAATTGCAGGGTAGACTAGATTAATATGCTCATGATGAATACATTAGGGTGAAATGGGTATATTAGGGTAATTTTCTACCATCAGGTTTTGGGTAGACTTTTCTCAAAGTATACCTTTCTGTAGTTCAATATAGACAAGTGTGTAGATGTGGTCATCGGCACCTGGACAACTTGTAATTCTTATGCATTTCTTTTTTTAAAGATTTATTAATTTATTAGAGAGAGAGAAGCACACACGAGCAGGGGGAGGGGCAGAGGGGGAGAGAGAGAATCTCAAGCAGACTCTACGCAGTATGCAGAGCCCGAGGCAGGGCTCGATCCCACAACCCTGAGTTCATGACTTGAGCTGAAATCAAGAGTCAGACGTTCAACTGACGGAGCCACCCAAGCGCCCCTCTTGCATTTATTTCTAATATTTGGCACCAGAATGGATCCTTAACCGCTGGGGAAGAATTGAGTGTGACATAAACATTCGACAGAAATCCTTCATAGTATTCATATTTCAGGACTGTTGGCAAACCATTCTAGGCTTTAGGAAACTCAGAGCGGTGGGCTCATGGGAGACACTTAAAGACCTTGATTTAACAGCACCTGCTGAAGGGATCACCCACATCTTAGTAGCAGCTTCTTTAGTAGAGCTATGGATTCCATTTTTTAAAACTTTATTTAAATAATCTCTACAGCCAGTGTGGGGCTCTAACTCTTGAGATCAAGAGCGACATGCTCTTCCAACTGAGACAGCCAGGAGCCCCTAGGTTCCGTTTTGAACAAATCAGAAGAGGAAAAGTCAGGTAGGCATTAAAAAGAAGGAAATTTTTGGTTTCTAGATGAGAAAGGAAAAGGCAAAGGGCAGCTGGGCTACCCACTATTTCTAGCTTGTCATAACCCTAATAAAAGTAACGCTAATTTATCTTTTCCACTTATAGTTAAGTGATAAAAAATACATGTGCTTGTCTTATTAAAATAATTATAAACTGGGGGAAAAGCTAGATTTTTGGTGATAGTTCTTGGAACATGGTATTGGGAAATATTGAGGAAAATCCAGTATCTATGCATTAACCTGTTGGTTCACTTTCTTGTAATTGCCAAGTGTGTTCTTTTTTAAAAAGATTTCATTTTCAAGTAATCCCTACACCCAGCACGGGTTGAACTCATAACCCTGAGATCCAGAGTCCCATGTTCTATACCAAAGGAGCCAGCCGGGCGCCCCTGCAAAGTGTGTTCTGATGTAGTTTGAGCAAACAGTGAACTCTGAGGTTCTGCAATCTGAAAATTCAAAGCATTTCCTGGGAACGAGTCTATCCCCCTCGTTGGAGGCCTTCCAGTGGGACGGAGGACCCCACTGTCAGAGGACTCAGGCAGTGGCTGGGTGTTCAGAACACATCACTTACAAAGTCCTTAAACACTTCAAGTAATACGAGACACAGCAAGATAATTAAGGCAAAACCCTACAAATAAAATAGAATGGAGAAAAAACCCTGAAGGCCAATAAATAAATAAATAAATAAATAAATGAATGAATGAATGAATAAAAGAAAAAATTGAGTGGATGGCTAAGAAATAAAACAGCTAAACAATCTGGTTAGTAAAGTCACATTAATCATTTTTGTAATTAATGCAGGTTTTCTTTTCCCAGACTACTATTATTTTATCCCTTTCTCTCTGGAAAATGAAAAACCCATTAGTTTTTTTTTCCTTTGCTTTTCCCCAGAAATTAAAGGTTGGTAAGTGGTAATTAGCACAGCTCCTGTCAAAGCCAATTGCCTAATGGGGACTGACATTTGACTTGAGTTGAAAAAATGGAATATGGCTAATGCAGAGTTCATTAGTCCCAGCTGCTTCCTTTGACATTCTTTTCTGCTACCGTAAGAACAGGCTGCCCTGCTCACTCCTAGTTTTTAGACATATTGCTGTGCTGCTCCGTTTCTATTCTGGAAGGCCTGGAGGCACAGGGGCGCAGGGAAGGTAAATGGCACCAGGGGCAAGATAATGTGTTTGCAGCCTCACGTGTTACGCATTTTAGGCCCAAGTTTGCACACTAACATCTTTGCCTCATAGACCCAGACAGGGGCCTCATAAAGCTCTGTCTCTGCTCTTCCCCCGGCCCCGGGGAGATAAGGGAAATGGCTCTCCTGCCTGGGCTAGGTACTGGCCTCCTCCTCCGACACTACTTCATTTAACCCTTTCATCCACTTTCATCCACGGGCTTGGCTCCCTCCAAGCCCACAGTACTTTCTCCATTATTCTATGCAGACAAGATGTTTGGTAGATCAGTTTCTAGTAGAGCATACCAACACCAACACCCAGGCCAGGCAACTAAAGCTCTCCTGTGTATCTATCTGACAGACATAATTCGAGACAGTATTTTTAATTCAGCAGGGCAAAGATGGAGATGTTGATAGAACTGGTGAGTAGAGGTACCATTCTGTTTCTGGAATCCAGGCTTCCTTTACCACTGGGCTAACTGTACAGTGTTTACCAGGCTATTTGCTTCTCTTATACCACCAGCACTGTGCCTGCAGTCAGAAATCTTTTGGCAATTATGTTGTAGACACAGGAGGTCTTTTCCAGTTTGAGTTGACTCTAACTTATTATGTTGGTGTAACAAAACCAGTGATCTGGATGTAGAAGGAAGAATGTGTGGACCTAAGAGAAAACACACGTAAGTGGGAAGATCACT